TGTTCATCTCGCCTGGCAATTTCAAACAGGGTTTTTAATTCTATCCATTGATCAAGAATACGGCAGACCGCTGGTTCAATTGATATCCATCGGGTATTGCACATCTGTGGAATTGTCAATGGAACGGAGCCACCGTTGATCGTTTGAAACATGTTTTTGTAAAAGAGTCTTCGGTTTGATGAATGGCTAAACCAGTTGTAGGTTTCTCTTATAAGAAATTCAACATTTCTTGGTAGGGTTTCTGCTGAAGCATGAGACATAGCCAACTGTAACGAATGACACACGCAGCGGACTAACACTAAATTGTCATTACCAGTTGCATTTTTCAACAATGCGTGCACTCCACTGTTAGTTCCTGTCATGACCGAAGCGTTATCCGTGCCGATACCGATCAATTTCTTTAAATTTATTTTTATTTCTGCCAACAATCCTTTAATGCCGTTCACTATGCTGACTGCAGTTCCGTCTTCAATCTCAACTAATCCCAAGAATGTGGAAATTATCTTTTTTAATGATCGGCTGAAATATCTTATCGAAACACCAAGCATTTTAAGTACCAATATATCTGTCGATTCATCGATTAAGAGACTGTACTCCTGATCTCCTAAATCTGTCACAATTTCTTGAATGAAGTGTGGTGCCAAAACATTTTTAATAATATTCGTGCATTTGGTTCGATGTAACTTGATGTCGCTGTATTTGCTGTCGACAAATCGGTATTTGCATAGTTCCGATAAATGATCTACAGCCATAATTGCACAGTGCTCGCAAACAAACAAAGCCAGCGAAGATTCTGCTTTCTGGGTATTCAGATCTTTTTTTTACTTTAGGGAAGTTAATTTTTTTTTGACTCTTCATTGGCTCTATTGCTTTTCTGTGCTTTGCTGATGAAATATGTAGCCTCAAAACAGACAATTTTGCAATCATTTCGCATTTACAATACTTACAGTACGCTTTCGAAGTATCGTTTTCAACGGGCTGCAACCACTCTTTAAAGTCTGCCATTTTCTCCCAGTCTGCCCGGTAATGTTGACTATACTTAGGCACCATAATAAAAATATCAAATTATAAAAAAGGAACACGAAAACACGGATAAGACGAGACGACGATATGAGTGAGTCCACATCCACAACAATAAACAATGTTTTTGACAGAAAGCGACGTAGGCGCTGGGGAATGGATAATAGTAAGGGAATTCTATCCCATAGACATCACCCTCACAAAACTGACCACTCTCTAGAAAGAGACAAAGTGAATACGCGGCCAATACATGTGTATTTTCTGCAAGGCGCAGGTAAGGCGTAGAAAGAGACAATAACTGGCGGCACATTCGCTTTCTCTCTCTTGTACTTCGTCCATATTTACTTTATACCTGAATAAGGGCTCAGTCCATTCTCTATGTCTAAGGGGAATCCCGTAGCACAGAGAATATTATATTCGCTTCAAAAAAGGGTTGCCATGCTAGTGAATCACTAGTAGTGAAGTGGGAAATTGATTGAGGTAGGTATCGATATCAAATTTTATTTCAAGAAAGATTGTAATTTACATTCTTTTCATGTTTTATAAGAATATGCTGAAATAATATGCTATATGCTAAAAGCAAAAAAAAATATGCTAAACAAGAAGAAAATATGTCAAATTTAGCATATAATATGCTAAATTGGCAACACTAACACAATCACACTGTTTGTGTGTGTGTGTGCGTGTGTGAAATGACTCCCTGAAATGGTGACTGGTGAAATGAATCCTCACGATGAAAGGCTAAGCGGAGATAAACATATGGGAAAAAAACTTTAAAAAATTATAAATGTTGAAGGAGTATAGATATAATCTATACTTATAATAAATCTGTAGAGAGGTCAATTCTGTACATGAAATATATTTCCAAAATAACTATCAGGGGGTGATTAGTGATCGATACTGATGGCAAAAATGCAAACAGTAAAATTTTTGTTCGTCTGTCTGTCTGTCTGTATGTACGTTATAGAAACAAAAACTACTCGACGGATTTTAACGAAACTTGGTACAATCATTCTTCATACTCCTGGGCAGGTTATAGTATACTTTTCATCACGCTACGATCAATAGGAGCAGATCAGTGAGGAGAAATGTCAGGGAAACGGGAGAAATTACTCCATTTTTAAGCTTCCGTCGCGTGTGCAGCCTTAATGGTTAAAGCTACACGGAAATCGTGTATAATGGAAATGTTCTCCTTAAAATTGTATAAAAAATATCTCACGACAGAATATGTCTATCTTTTACGGTTGACTCACAATAACACGTGTAACTCCCGATAGCTTAGCAGTTCTGAACTTTCTGATTATATTTGTATACTCTTACGTCTATAACACTCTCACTCATCCCTAGTTAAAAAAAGTTAACATTATTATCTATTCAACAAAAAAAAAGAATCATAGAAATCGGTATAGAAACACCAAAGTTATACATGAAATACGCTAATAAGCCATCGCGCGTGAATACTGAATCATGCTATAAGGATTATTTTTGTGTAACGGTCGCCGCGCTTGACGGACTAAACCCGGAGAAGACCTCCGCCGTTTGCTTCGAATATAAACGACGCCAGGTCTATCCGGGGGTTGGTCGGGGGTGGGGTGTCTTTTTTTTGCTCTTCGACCTACACCGAGACTTACCCAACAATCCAGCAGTTCCTTAAATCACTCTCTGAGAGATTTTTCAAAGCCTCAGAGTCCCACCCAAATCATCTCATTTGTGAGACAGCTGCCTATGCAGCCCCTATCCACACTCGCTATAGTGTGAGCAGACCGAGAAAATCTCTCTCGGACCCCCCAACAAGCTTTCGGCTGACCTGAACTGCCTCCTGGCGGCTCAGGCCGAGCCTACATAACACATCCCTTAATCTGCCTTAGTTAGGCACACTTCTAAGCGGCTTTTCGCCGCTTGCGCCCTCCTTTCTGCTAAGGAGGGTCGCGTCCGTATACGGCTTAGAGATCTCTAGTTAGACGAGTTAAGCCAGTCCCTAAAAGGTGGGGTTTAGTGGGTAAAAGTCTCCACATAACCACGCAGCTGGCTGCGTGGTATGCTATGAGCATTCCCCACCTCCTTCCCCCGCTTTCCGGAGGGTTGCCCATATTTTCTTTGGGCGCAAAAAAATGTACGAGCTTCATACAATATTTGGCTGTTGTTGCGAATAGACGTTCAGATTGTTCGACCTTATTGACAGACAATATATATATATATATATATATATATATATATATATATATATATTATAACAATGCGCGACTTTTAGTCTACTCTTACGTTTAATAATTTATTTTTAGATTTCTTTGGTTGTTATTTTATAAAATAGGTATTAGTTATTTTGGTAGTGTTTAAATATTTCTTAGTATTAGCTTAATTATAAATTAAACTTTTTTTTATTTAGCTGTAGATTTAAATAGGTACCTAGGTATCAAATAGGTTATTTCATTCTATTAGACGTAGTTTAGGTACCTACTTATAAATTTTTAAGAATTTAATTTTGGATTTAAGGATTTATTTAGGATCCTTTTTATTATTTGAGTAGGTTTTTTCAAGTGTATGGTACGAGGGTGGATTGAAAAATACTCGGCCTAACCAAGAAAATAAACACATACTAAATCAGTTATATTTTTATTTTTCTACATAATCACCATCAAGTTCAATACACTTTTGCCACATCCCCTTCCAAGCATTTAGACCGTTGAAAAAAATGATTCTTCCTTAGAGTCAAAATATGCGTCTACAGCTGCTTTGACCTCGTCGTTTGTCGAAAATCTTTGACCTCCCAAGTGCTTTTTTAGGTTAGGGAACAGAAAGAAGTCTGATGGTGCCAGATCAGGTGAATACGGCGGATGCGGTAACAGTTCAAAGCCACAGTTGTGAATTTCAGCCATTGACTGTACTGACGTGTGAACACGGGCGTTATCTTGATGAAACAGGACTTTTCTTCTGAGCATTCCTCGACGTTTTTCTTTTATTTCCTCTCGTAAACGACGTAGTAAGGTGCAGTAGTAATCAGAGTTTATAGTCTGATCCCTTTCAAGATAATCAATCATAATCACACCTTTCGAGTCCCAGAATACTGAAGCCATCACCTTATTTGCCGACAAAATCGACTTAGCCTTTTTAGGGGTGGTGAACCAGGTCTTCTCCACTGTTTTGATTGTTGTTTTGTTTCCGGTGTACAGTAATGAACCCATGTTTCGTCCATAGTAACAAAACGATTCAAAAAATCATCTGCATCGGCTTCAAATAACTCCAAACAGTCGCGTGAAATAGTCAATCGCGTCCTTTTTTGTTCAACTGAAAGCAGTCGCGGAACCCACCTCGCAGACACCTTGTGGAAACTCAACTCGTTGACAATGATGTTTTGAGTTCGTTCATAAGAGATGCCTATGATCTCGGCTATCTCTCTAATTTTTAATCTGCGGTCTCCCATTATTAAATCAAGTACTTTTTTTAATATTTTCGTCAGTAGTTGACGTCGAAGGCCTTCCAGAGCGGGGTTCATCTTTCACACTCTCTCTACCACGCTTAAATTCTGCTATCCATTTTTTGACGGATGAATATGACAGAGCACAATCGCCTAATGTACTGACCATGTCATCATGGATGGCTTTTGATGATAGCCCCTTCTTATGGAGGTACTTAATGACGGCACGCTGCTCGATTTGCTCCATTCGCGGAAATTATGTCCGATTACTTTGTTAATAAATTTATAAAATCACAACTAATTATCGCACACGTTTCGAACTTCACACAATGAACTAATCTGAACTGAACTAAATAATGTGGGTAGATTTGATTTTTAGAATTGAATGGATCTGTGTTAGGCCTTGAGTACTTTTCAAGTGTATGGTCCACCCAGGTAGCTATAGTTAGGAACTTTAACGTAGATTATTTTGTTGTGTAACTGAATGCCGTCGATTAAAAATAAAATACACAATGCCACCTAAAAACGATTATCTTTATCTCGAAATTCGAGAGAAGCTAAGAGAATGAGAAATGTGCGTTCTCAAGAATCGGCAGAGGAAAGAGCACATCGGTTAAACTCTATGAGAGTTAGTGCCTCAACTTCTCGAGCCAATGAAAGCTCTCCAGAAAGAGAGATGCGATTAGCAGCTGACGGAGCGAGACGAGCTACATACCGGGCGTCTCAAAGTTCTTCTCAACGAGAGCTAAGGCTTACCATTGACCGAGAACAACATGTGTTATCCCGAGAAGCTGAAACTGCTTCACAACGAGAATTGCGGCTCACAGCTGACCGCGAACGGCATACATTATCTCGCGAATCCGAAACCAACACTGAGAGAGAATTACGTCTCACAGCTGATGGCGAGCGGCATGTACTATTCTGTGAGTCCGAAACTTTCACTGAAAGGGAATTGCTGCTCACAGCTGACCGCGAACGGCATACATTATCTCGCGAGTCCGAAACCTACACTGAGAGGGAATTACGTCTCACAGCTGATCGCGAACGGCATGTACTATTCCGTGAGTCCGAAACCTTCACTGAAAGGGAATTACGTCTCACAGCTGATCGCGAACGGCATGTACCATCCTGTGAGTCCGAAACCTACACTGAGAGGGAATTACGTCTATCAGCTGACCGCGAACGGCATACATTATCTCGCGAGTCCGAAACCTACACTGAGAGAGAATTACGTCTCACAGCTGATCGCGAACGTCATATTTTATCTCGAGAATCTGAAACTTTTACTCAATATGAAGACCGTTTGACAAATGATAGGGTGCATCATAATATTATTCGATCTCTTGATGATGAACATGAGCATAAACAACGACTAGAGTCGGGACGCGAATATTACAATTCTTTGAGACAAGAACGATTAATAAGTTTGTCTAATGAAAGATTAAGAATTGAAAATATTCGGTCTCTTGAAACGGACGAACAGCGAGAGGCCCGTCTTACTGCAGACAGATTTCGACATAGTCAAAAAAAAAAAAAAATATAAAATTGGGTGGCGGGGGGGTTTGCTTTGATTACAATGTGTAATGCGATAAACGTACATAGTATGTTCTTTTTGTAATGATTCAAAGTGGAGTAAGGAGTCGGCTGGTTTCTGTTGTTCTGGAGGTAAAATTAACTTAATAACAGACAAGGAGTTACACTCCATCCAAAGCCCAGCGACACTATAACATATATAGGAAAGACGTCTTAGCAAAAGTTGTTTAGTCTGATGGGCATTTCCTGTTGACTTACAAAAATGAAAGATCTAGAACGTCTCGAATCGTATCACGAATCACGTTGTTTTTCCGTCCCCGGGCTCTTAGAATTCAACATCATACGTTTCAAATCTTCGATTTTGACGACCCCGTTGTCGCTGGCATAAGCAACAGGATCCGCGTACGAAGTCGCGGGCAGAAGCTAGTAATAAATAAATCAGAATACATGATACGTGCTATCATAGAATCATTCTTTAGTAAAAAGTCTTAATTCACACTTGCAATGATTTTCTAGTGTCAGGAAACATAGTTTTGAAAAGAAACTTGTTGGGAGCTTTTTTAATGTCAAGAGATATTTCGTTCCAGAATTGTACAGCCGTAAAAGATAAGAAAAGCGAAAAATTAAAAAAAAATTAAAAAGAATTAAAAAAAATTAAAAAAAAATTAGATTACTCAAAGAACGGAGAAAACAATTCAGAGCACAAGGATCGCACAAAATAGTGAAAACAATCTTCCGTTCACCAGATATCGCTAGCTGAGACTGAGGTGACGATATTTGATACACATGTCATTTCATTGGGAGGTTGTGTTTTAAATAAAAGTTTATCGGTTTCAAGAGTTATAGATTATATAAATATACAAAACAATGCCTCAGTGGTTTACTCCTTAATATTTTTCATATTTTTTAACTTTAAAACAAAATTTTGCCGTTAGGAATATCCGTAGTTTGGTGCATTCATTTTTAATTTAATTAATATAAAATAAAACTAATATTACTTAAAGGAACATTATCCCTTACAATTTCCTAACAAATTAACATCCCCTGCTATGGAATCTGTCAAAAGTTTCATCTCATTCCTAAGTGACGCCGCTCTAGTGGCAGAAAAAGTCATGTTTGCCCTCATTAAACTGAACACGAATAGAAGATAGATAGAAAGTCGTATTTACGAAAACCATAAATGTATCTCTTGCAAACAATCCAATGTGTTAAAACGTTGTTAAGATAATAAATCCACTGCGCATTCAAACAGCTCACTTCAGAAAGGTGAAACGTCCGATAAACTAAGTATAGCTAATCGGACGTTTTTTTTAACAGACAGATTTATTAATAGTGATAAGATAATATAAGATAGATTTTATCTTAGTATTTGCATAAATACTAGTATGAAAATCAATGAAAAATAATATACTTAAGATAGCTATTATGATGGAACATCACGGAGTTGGTAAATCTTTAAATAAATCAACCGTTTTCGTGCGTTTAATTTATTATGTACATTTAAAATTTTAAAATTTGTTTCTTATTATTTTTTACGGCAAACATCTTGTAATGTAGCCCCCATGGATATATATGTTAGTGATAAGTTTAGATTAAGAGTATGTAGTCCAATTAAAGTTTTAGTACCAACAACACGTCTCCTCATTAACACCTTTCCAACATTACATGGCGACCGCCGATGAAGATATGATGTGAAATAAATTAAAATTAAATATTTTGTATATAAATATGATAAACAGTTACATGAACTGACATAATATTATACCGGACAAGACAAGAAAACTATGATATGACAAATACGAGAGAGGCCACAATAATATTGGACTATGGATCTTATCTTTGGCGGCAGGTCTGACTCGTCGGAAGATCCGTCGAGCTGCGCGAATGCTATTACCGATGTGATACGTCAAGCAATGAGGTATTTTATGCCTTTTGCTGACATAACTATCGGTGGTAGGTAAACCTCACCCAAGGATCAACGTCGAATCCTTGCTAAAATGCACTAGCACATTACGTTTATTCTAAGTCAATACTCGAGACCACAGAGCTCCAGATGTTAGTCGTTAGAAGCGAGCCTTTAACCAAGCCGTCAAGTCCTCTAAAAAGGCGTTATGGAAAGCCAGTTTCGTCACACAGTTTTACAAATCAGCGCGAAGCTCTCTGCCAAACCATCTGACAGTAGAACTTTTTAGTCTAGTTGTCGAGACAAACTTCTGCCGGCCTACACTGCCTCCGCTGATCAAACCAGATAGTTCACTGGCGCATACATCTTAGGATAAAGCGAACTTGTTTGCTACTCTTTTTGCTTGTTATTTGCGTCTAGACAGTAGCAACAGTGTTCGTCTTAATAGCCTCATTGCGATACCTATATGCTGGAGATCCGCATCACCAACAAGGTTTTCAAAACATTACGGATTCTAGACGCAAAGCGGAGCTGAACCTGCAATATGCCACCTAGTAGCGATGGACTAAGTGGAGAAACATGCTAAAACGTTTATTGGTAACTTTGATTTGATTGAAATCAATCTTGTAAGATCGCGTTTTTAATTTTTGTGGCAAAATAACATATTAAAGAAAATGACAACATCCTTGAAAGAAAAAAAAAATTACCTTCTTACTCACCGCCCGCCGTGTCACGTGGCGATGGCGGCAATAGTGGCGGCCACTATTACTGTGACAGCAATTGTGTAGCTTTCTTATAGGCTGTAATGGATGGATGGAAGTCGATGCTAAGACATAGAGGAACTAAAGCCCCGACTTCAGAATGTGAAATTATTTTATTCATTGCATGCCTTAAGCACAAAACGCTTAGGTATGTTCTACTAGCGTCTACAAATCAAGAATCCGACGTTTTGTCGCATGAAATCGTATCTAACATTCATATTGAACATAAATATATAATAAGCACAATATCAGAAAGATACATGATTGTTCAACTTATTACTTTTTTAAATCCATTAATTGCTATGTTTGTATTAAAAAAATGGTTTTACTGGCTAATGGTGTAGATTTATCAAGTACGCGTAGACGGGTAAACACCATAACTTTTACGAATATCAATTGTTCAACTCAATCTATTTTTAATCTCTTCATCTATCATGTGGGAAGCTAAGGAATGTAAATGGCTGTTAAATTTGGTTTTGTTTAGTTATAATCATTTTTTTCGGCTGAGAAATTCTGAAATTTTCGGGGTTTGAGCAGCCTTGTAGTAATATATTTTACTAAATACGGATACACATTGACACACTCCGGGCTCGGTCGCCGTTGTGAGTGGGTTATTGTGTTTGTTTACAAACAACAAAGTACACCTTCAGGTCACTCTATCAAGTCTGGAGGTAAGATTTCTAGGAAAAATCTCGTTCTCTGTAGAAATACAAAATATTCCAAAAACTCAATTTGATACAATCCACTTGAAAAATTATTTTTATAATCTCAGATTTTCATTACAATACATATATTGCTTCGCTAAAAGTACGTCAGATTTATATATAAATATACTTATACGTCTTGGACTTTATGGAGTGACCTGAAAGTGTACTTCGGTATCTACTATTGGAACTCCTCAAAGAGTAGAATTAGGTGAGATTATGAGATCTTACCTCCGGACTTGATAGAGTGACCTGAAGGTGTACTTTGGTGAATGCTAAATTAAAATACTGGTTATGAATAGATGAAAAACTTTTTGAAAACGAAATAAAGTTCAGGTAAAAAAGACTAAGTGGTTTTTACGATAATACCTCAGTACAAATGCCTCGAGCCGTGGTAGCTCAGTGGTTAACGCTCGCTGTAAATATAACAGAACGCGAATAACCCGGGGTCGATCCCCGCCGGCACCAATGAAATTGTTAATTGCAATTTTAAGTGCTGATTTACCACGTGCTCGGCGGTGAAGGAAAACATCGTGAGGAAACCTGCATGTCTGAGGAATAAGAAAAAAAATATTTCGAAGACATGTGAAGTTCGTCAACACGCATTTGGGCAGCGCGGCGGACACTTCCTTGCCCTAAACCCTCTCAGAAATGAGGGGAGGCCTGAGCCCAGCAGTGGGACGTATATAGGCTGTAACTTTTTACTTTACTTTTAAAAATGCCTAAAAATTAAAGCAATATTAAAGTTGATTTCTGATCTCTTTAAGATAATTTTGTTAAAAGTTTTTTCAATTAACAATAATAAAAAAAATTGATTCTCAATAATAATAACATTATTTCTATAGTTGATTAATAATTTTTTCTACATTTTTTCACGATCATATGAGAATTATAAGTTACACTAGGTACACTTTTGGATTTTCCAAACTTTTTTTAAATTGTCGTTTGACATAAAATTATCGAGAAATTAGAAGTAATAGTAATAAGGTTATTGGTTTAGTTTAACCTAATTCTCTATTCACCACTCAGACTATTTCCCTCCTATAGCTAAATTTTTGTTCTACTATGTGTTGTTCATAACTTGTATATTTAGTTGTGTTTTTAGTCACTTTGTCACCTAATAACCGCCAACTCCTTTCCCACCGAGAAGCCTCAAGACAAGGTGTGACAGACAGAAGACTGGACATTGGCAGAACTACTGTAACATAACGACAATATAATGGCCATATTGTTAAAAAAGAAGGTTATTTATGTAAACTTGTGTGTATTTAAAATACCTTAAAAAATTGACGTATAACATGAGCGCTTAAGGCATGCACATTTGGATTTACCAAAAGTTTTTATTAAAATGTATGACAAAGAAAGCTAGATGAAATCTTATTTAGAATTCGTTTAGCAAATCTAAAAGTAGTTTTTAAGAAAGCTAAATTAAATATATTTATATAGTCCAAGCACCAACCTTACGGAGAAGTGGGACAATTATCTCTACATAGAGCCGTGAGTGCATCGCTTAGCCTCCGAGCGTCCGGCGCCTCCGACGGCAAATGCCCACGTCCTCCATCGTCATGCCCTTATATGACGTCTCATAGATGAGACGTCTTGGGCTGCAAAAACAATACTCAGTCAGTCTGTGAAAATAGGT